ATTCGGCGGTGTTTTCTTTACGAGAAGATCGAGTCTGAACGTTATACAGTCATGTATCGATCCACTGGTTATCGCCGTCAAGTACTATGTAAAGAGTATATTTCATCAAGGCTTATACGTTTATAAGGATCAGAATACATTCAGTAAAAAAATTCACTTACTTGGCCCCACCTCTGCTGGTCTCCCATAGAAACTCGTGTAATGTTTAGGTTAAACCCGTCCCGTAGATTCTAGACATTTTGGTATAGTCCTTTAATTTAAGCGCTTTTCTTCGCTGCTGTTCTGGCTGGCTCTCTGCGCTTTCATGGATTTGTTGGCTATTACGCCCATCGCATTCAACTGCTCTTTTGATTTTTCATCGCTATTTGGGCTAATAAGTGTTCAGGATTGAGTCTAAATCAAATGTAATCTATTTTATAAGTATCGTCTTTGTTTTCGTATTGTCAACAGTGTATGCTGTACATTCGCGATGGTCTCGTCTCCGCAATCGTTTAAAATATGCTTTAAAATATCTATGTCCTGTGATATTTTAGGTTAAGTAAAAATCTACTTCAATGTGCGTCCATTTCAAGTGACTTCTCAATATTTTTGCTGGCTCTTTGTCATTTCTGATCGAGCACTTTCGTCTAGGATTCCCAATGGCAAATCTGTTACAGGCGTCTTAATTTCTTTGATTAAGAGATCTATTGGGTATAATCCCACGTTTGTAAGGGCAGCAGCTTCTGTTACCGTACGAAACACAGAGTATACTCTAAGTGCGCAGATAACATAAATGGAAACGGTTAACGTCGGTAAGATATTATTTCGAGTGCTTTTTTTATGCTTAAAGGCGATGAACTTGAAACCAGCCAGGAGTCTTCTCCTATTTGGTTTTGATTCTCGGGTATTCAGCAACGTTCGGGTTGAAGCTCTACATATTTTCGAAAAGTTTTCACGTGAGTAGGCCAAATGTTCCTTAAAGAACATTCTTGGATCTAGAACAATTCCCAAGTATTTAATGGTTAGTTGTTTAGTTATACTAAAACCTTTTATACTGCAGGTATGTAGGTCCGTGAAATAATCGTTGGACCGTAAAATTAATAATGGGACAAAAATAATCTCTTGACAAAAGAATATCATCGTTAAACACATCAGTCGAACTTTCCTGCTTCTCAGAATAATACAGGGAACTCAAGTAAATAAAGATGTGACCGCGAGCTCAACAGGAACTCGAACTTTGTAAACGTCGGAGACCCCATAAAGTTTATATATAAATGATACGGGTGACGTGCTGGATCGATTTAGCCATCTCCGTTCGTTCGTCCGTGTATACCCGAATTAGCCACTCAGTTTTTGAGATATCGATCTGAAATTTTGTACATGTCCTTTTATTCCATGTGAGCCTGCGCATTTGTCAGAACTACAGATATCAGACCACTATAGCTTATAGCTGCCATACAAACGGATCGATAAAACTCAGGTCCTTGTATGAAAAATTTTTTTCAACGACAAGGTATCTGCACGAAATTCGGTATAGCTTCCTTTCCAAGCCAATGTTACAATCTTCAAACAAATTGTTTCTATCAGATCACTTTAGGATATATCTGCTATTAATCCAGATCTTGTAATGCACATGTGATATATTTTTATGGCTTCGGTGCTGTCGCATGTAACGGTCTTACTTGTTTTAATCATTATTCGTTTTGATAATATGCCATGAATTCAATGCATCAGCTTTCAAAGGATTACAAGCGGAGTATTAAAATAATATAACCGAAATTTTCCCAATGAACGCGTGTTAAAAAACGAATGCTAATTAAAATTCATGCTGTTGAAAATTAGGCGCAGTATATATATTTGAAATCTGTGTCTAAAATCTCAAAACAACAAAAACAAAAATCAAATAAAAATAATAAGCATTTGAATTCTTTTGAAAATATGCACATAAATGAAATTATTTTAGCACAGCAATTCGCAAATAAATTTACAAACACACCCACATGGGTATACACATGCAAAGTCACGAGTCCAACCGCAGACCTCACACAAACACTTGCTGGCATACGCATTAATCATTTGCCCAGCCACCCCCCAACAAGCTGAAACGCATCAAACCAGATGCACACAGCAACCCCACAATGCATTCGTTAGATACACAAAAATATATTCGTAACCAAACACATATGAACATACGCATACGCGCACATACACAAGCGGATTTCGAAAATCATTTTCACTTTCATTCCAGTTTCCCATAAAACTTACAACGAACTTTGCGGCCACCCACCACTGCGCCCGCTTAAAACCGGTCTCCAGCGCGTTGGTGAACCTCACTCAACCCAACTGCGGTTACCCTGTACACCGGCAGCGAAATCACGTGCTCGTTAACCCCACAGCGTCTATCGGCGATGTGCTCTGAGAGCCACCCCAACGTCTATCCCGGTCTCATTCGCTTAATTTTCGCTCCACCACCTCCGACGACACATACCCGGCTACCGCTAATCACTTATACCGGCTATAACGGCATTTTACACAACAGCTGTTTATGCCGACGAGGCGCTTGGCAACAATTTTCCAATGTCGTCAATGTCGTTTGCCGTCGGTGACTTCCAGCTGAAAATACCATCGTGCCATAGATTGGGAGCGCAAGGTGTTTTGTAAAATTACACAAATACTTATGCCTGCGTATAACTGTTGTGAGCAACACCTGCTGGGGGATGCCGAAATTTGTAGCGCTCACCCTTTGCTTTGTTAGTGTTATGATACTACTAATTCAAAGATTAATGCTACGCTCTTTTACACACACTTTCTCTCTCTCTCTCTCTCGCTTTTTAGATTCAGGATGCTTCCAGGGTGCTAGCTTTCTCTCATACGCTTAATTGTTGGTTTAAAAATAGCTTTATTACAAAATGCCTATATTTAGGTACTCACCCTTGCGCTGGTTGCTCACACTCTGCTCTCAGCAATGCTCTTTTTCTCTATCTGTTCCGCTGGCTGACCAAACATTTGTGGTCCTATGTGACCCTAAATACAGTTAATAATCATATACAGTTTTAGCACCCACGTGATAGATGCGTACAGTGTCTCGAAGGCAGAAAAATTTACGAAAATTAAAAATCTCTTGTATTGGTTGATAGTCATTAGAATTCTTTCCATGTTTCATTGAAAAGTATTTTTAAACTGTAAGATTTAGTATATAATCTGTAAATATTGAGTACTTTCTTAACTGTCTGTCTGTTATGAAGAGTTAGACCTTTCATTTCTAACTCTAGATTATATCTGTATATATTTAGTCGTCAATATTGATAGTATATATTACTTTTAAGTAATTATTTCGGGTTTATCATTCAATCCCCAAGTCTCTCCTCTCTAACACACTCAGAACCAACGAAAGGGTTTTTTTCTAAATCTGCAACCCTCAGTAAGTGGCTACATTTAATTTTTTTGTTGAAGCAGATACATACATATGTTATTCAAACAAACAAACTTTGCTCTCATTAACACTTCAAAACTCTCCCACCATCACCCACGCTCAAAAAAAGCTACAGTGCTCCATCACTATTACCCTACACTAGGCCACCTTATAGGGGTCGTTGTTCGTTGCCAAGCATAATAAAATAAAACAATCTCTTTCAGTAGATAGAAGTAAATGTTTGTCTTCTCGCCCTTACCAAGTCCACTTTGAAGGTAGTTAGGTATAACGTGCTTTGTACGTCAACAGCACGAGCAGCACCAGGCAGCGCGGCGACTTACCAGCTGTTCCAACGAGCTCACGTGCACAACATGTGCCGATATGTGAGAGCGAGCTTTGCAGCTTCTGCAAAAATATGTCTCGCAAAAATTTTGTTTAGCTTTGGTTGTGCTCAAGAGTATGTGCAGTGTAACATGTTGGCTCGACGGGCCTCATTTGCTGAATCAAACAAGTATACTATAATGATTGATGATCTGATCCATCTTGCATTAATTTAATCTTAGTATTAATTATGTAGTCGAGAGTTGATTAGGAAGCGAGCTATGAGACATTTCTATAAGTGAGTGAGTTAGTTTTAACTCCTTGTTCAAGAAAGCTTCACAGTTCTATTCTAATTATGTTATTGTTAGAGCAAGCCTGTTTCTGAACATGGATATTCATTGTTTTACTCCGCTGGATATCATATTATATGATGTCTTTTAGATCAGTATACTGCTGCCAATATTTCCTTACCAAATACAAACCGCAAGATAAATGTTGGTACCATACTTTTCATGTGCCAAGGTAAATTTGGCTATGATTGAGCTGACTAAACTCTTTGGACCTTATCTTCAAGTGTTTAATGTAGCTTTTTATTAAAACTTACAGTCTTATCCGCTTCTGACAGGTTTTTTGTTCAGATTAATATAGACGAATCTTTTCACAAATCTGAAATTTTCATCGGAATCTTAGAGAGTGCTTAAAAAGCTTACAGCTTTCGTCCGCTACCAATAGATTTTTTGAACATAGATAGATCCATATAGATGAATTTTTTCACATATTTAAAATCTTCACCGAAACCTTAGAGCGAGCTTAATAAGCTTACAGCGTTCATCCGTTTCTAATCGATTTTTTGATTTGATCAATATTGATGAACCTTACCACAAATCTAAAATCTATTTAGTAATCTATTTATCGTAACTTTAGGGAAAGCTTAAAAACCTTAAAGTGAGCTTAAAAATCTTTTACAGCTTTTGTTCGCTACTGATAGCTTTTCAATTTTATCATAATTTCTATATAACTCAAATATTTAACGGAAATTTAGAGTGAGCTTAAAAAGCTCATCTTCTGGTGTTTTCTAAATCTTACTCTCAGAGAAAGACAAATTTCGAGCTTTTTTCTTGTTATTAGCATGTTTTTATTTTTTATAATTTTTTTTTGGTAAAAAACAAGTACATTTTACGAATGTGGAAAACCGGTTTCCTTTACTTTTTTAAAGAAAATTATATATGTGCATAAATATACTGCAAAATGCAGCGAAAAATTGAAAATTGTAATTAGTACATAGAAATGTATAAGGATATTTAATATTTTTATGAAAATACTACGAATTTCTGCTGAAGCTTCAGCGAAGTATGCTTAGAATATAAAAAATATATATGCATAACAGTTTTTCAACCAAATTTGGCAAAAACAAAACTTAAACGGGAATGCGCGCTCTCCCCGAAACTATAACAAATTAAAGCTAATAAAAAGCACTAACATACTAGTATATGTGTGGTAAGCTTTAAAGCTCACCAAGAATTGGAAAAAAGAGAAAAGCAAAAACAATAACTTTCACACGAGCGGAAAGTTGAAGCGTACATAAATTAAATTACTAAACTAATAAAGCTAAAATATATTATTTTGTTTACTTAACATTTAACTAAGTATGTGTGCGTAAATTGAAAAAGCGCTAGGCAATATACAACCGTTCATTTTAAGCTTTAACAAAACTACAGCGTTGTATTTAAAAAGTTCTAAGCATAATATTTACAAATAATTTAAGTACTTTTTTTCGAGAGAAAAATTTTGAATTTGAAATTTGTCTGCAATTAATTTTGCACTAGTCCATATAGGTTGCGTAAGTGACTGCTTGGTCGACGACTGGATAAGAATTCATCAGAATAAGTTCACCAGCGTCGTCATCAGGCAAAAGCTCGATGCGTTCTTTGATTGTGTGAGGTGGCGGTACAGGACGCTTGAAAACAATCGCCGCACCAACCATTATATATATGACAGAGAGCGCAATCAGCATGGGGAAGGAAAAGACAATGCGCGCCATAAGTATTTTTTGCTTTTTGCCAGCGCCTGCAATTGAGGGGATGAAGGATCCTGCAAGAAGAAATAAAATAAATTAACGAAAACAAATTAGCTGTGTTGGGATTGAAAGTATTTTTTAGGAGCTTCCTCTCTAGGAAAAGAAATGGACGTTTTTTGGGAGAGCGCCGACCACAAACTGTAAACTTTTCAGCTATCGTAATAAGTTGGCTTTGTGACATCAGTAAAACAATTAATTTTGTGAAACAAAGTGAGACGGAAATAGCGATAACATAAGCTTTACTCTCACTTGCACTTTTACTTATAAAAAGCTTTCGAAAAGCTCCACTACTCACCATTCATACTCTTCGATTCGCAACGCTCACCGATGTAACCATCAGCGCAAATACACGAATGTATCGTATCATTGCCGATGGGATAACGAAAGCAGCGACCACGATTCAAACAGAATTCGGTATTGAACTGACCGCTGCAGGGAAGTGACAAGAGATCGCGCACAGTCTTCAAGTCGTTCATAACATTCTCCATACCATCACCAGCACTATTGGTAATGATTGTGGGGGTAGGTGTCGGCATCGTTGTGGAGCTCGACTGTACACTCTGTGGTTCATCCACAACAGCAGAGATTCGCGCCCTTTGTGTTGTACTGATCTCACTCTCAGCGCGTGTGCTTTGCTGAGCGATTGTAGTCGCCGCCGTTGTTTGAGGTGTGGTTGAGTGTCGCATAGTAGTACTGCTTATGCTTGTCGTACTCATCTTCGTAGTAGTTGTCGTTGTTGTTGTGTCGAAAGCTGCTGCATCAAATATACCAAGCAAACTCTCAAATGAGTCACTACCGAAGTTCCCCAACTGCATTGCAGCACCGAATATTTCCGTTTCGGTGCTATTCTCCTCATGTTCATTCTCATTCCTGGAGCGCGTGTGCTCAGCTGTATAGTTTTTTATAAAGTCAATATCGCTTTTTACTAATTCCACATAATGTGGTATTTTTTGTTGTTGCTGCTGCTGTTGTTGGTGTTGTTGCTGTTGCAACTGCTCGTTATCATCGTGTTCGTAATCGTAATCATCGCTTTGCGAATGGTGCAAACGCTGTTGTTGTACGATTTGCAGTGTGTGTTCCTTGAGCAGTAATAATCGGCTCGAACAACAATCTGTACGGAAACGGGCAATGTGGAAAATTTTCATTAGTCGTAGTTAGATTTTTATATGTATAGAGGATATTTGAAATGTATGATCGATGTTGATATTTGAATGATTGTGATACAAAAAACAGTGCAAACAGACAGCTTTCAAGTCATGATGAACTTAGAAATGATATTCTTTAAATTATTAAACACTAAATTACTTCTCATATTACTGCCAATAGAGCTACAACTTTAAAATAGAGAAGTTATTTTCTTATAGTTCAAACTTCGCTTAGTGTAAGGGCATCCAAAATAAAAACCGATTACGAAAATTATAAATTTCTGGAACATTGTTGCAACCAATTTAAATTAGATAACCTAATAATCATACCTTAGAATATGATTTGGCGATGTTCTCACTATTACTCTGAGGGATGTGGGTGGCTTACAGTTCCGATCAAGATCTTAAAAGCGTTTTTCAAATCGCTGTGTCCAATAAGCAGGATATAAAAACTTTCAGGTGTATTCTGGATTGAACATTTTTTTTATAAAAGCCGTCTGACCTTTCAAAACTTTATATCTTCTGTAAAATCGAGGCACACAACACTCTTTGAAACATAACATCGCGATAAGATAACTAGATATCGAAAGGGTGAAATGAGCATTCTTGTAATAAAATTTAATTTTTTAAGAAGGCGTCGGATATTCCAAGGCTCTATACGAGTATCATGTGTAAAATCGAGGCACACAACACTTTTTGGAACAAAAGCTCGCTTTAGTTCTCGTAAAGGGGAAATGCCATTGTTATACTGTCAACTATTTTAAACGCTAAAGTGCTGAAATAGATTACTTTTGCGATTCGCAATCACTTATTCATAAAAATCTTGGAACGATTGAGAAGAGCATAAATCCATAATTGAAATTTTGGACGACGTACTCATACCGGTTATACGGTATTTGGTATTTTTGGTCTAAAATTGTTATTTCAGAAAAGTACAGCAAGAAATAATCAGTTTAAGATTATTCACGTATAATATTCGAGTTTACATCTCCAACTTAAAATTTTAAAAGTTTGCACTTGAAACTTTATTAAAAAAAGAGTGCTCAAAGAAATTATTATTATAAAACACGTATGCTATTCTTAAAAATATGAGCTCAATGGAAGTTTATTGCAAGGATAGTTATCGATATTAATTAAATCGATAAAATTGAGCCTACATAACTAGATAAAGATCTTCGTAATATTGTGTTTGTTTACTGCTTAAAAACATTGCCAAAGTATGAGATACCTAGTATGCGTGAGAACGAAACTTCGTCGTGGTCTTGACGCGCCACCACTATTGCTTGCCTTCACAACTGATAAAAGGCCTAGGTGAAAAGAATGTGAGGTTGTGGAAGTGACAAAAGAGTTTTTTAAATAATTTTTGAAGATACTCGTGCATTTTTATTTGAGCAACCAACGACCTCATGAAACTCTAATGAGTCAAATCACTCGGTAGACATGTCCATTTAAGGTATATTTTCAATAATTTTTATAGCTGTGTATATAGCTTTCATAAGTAAACAGTTTTCATAAACATTTTCGTTGAAATTTCTACTCTGTGAGTAAGAACGCTGCGGCTGAATTTATTCGCTGGCGTCTAGATCGCACACTTCCTTCGACAACAAAGAAAACGCTTTCGTCGATATAAACTATGAGCAGAAGTGTGTTGTGTTGTTGTGTGAGTGTGTGTACGTACCCGTAACTGCGACGATTGTTGACAGCATGAAAATTACTCTCAGCAAATTTTCCGAAATTTGCATTATGCCAATATTATGCGGTCATAAACGATATTCACCACACTGAGAACGTGTGTGGCGAATAAGCGTGGTGCGAGAAGTAAAGAATGCGAAAAAGTCAAATAAAGTGGATTTTCAATATCGAATTGAAAAACAAAAACAGAAATCCAAACAGTAATTCAGATAGCAGCAGGCGACGACGACGAGCAGTGAAGCGCCAAAAATCCAAATGAAAATCGGGAGGTTAATTGAAGGTGATGCTACTGCAGCAACACGATCGTGCGCTACACGTGTAACAACAAAAATTCGTTGCAAATATAAACAGGAAAAATGCGCAAGATTTGCATACTCATAGCATAGCACATACACTGTGAGAAATTCTATGCGCTTTGGCGTAGAAAAGTTTAGACAAAAAGTTCTATGTCAATGTTGGAACGCGAATACTGGAACAACACACTGCGCGATTCAAGAGAGCGAGAGACACGCGTTGGCATTTAGTATGAGTCACATAACCGCAAATATGTGGCGCTTTGCTTTACTACTTTATTTTTTTATTTATTACATATCTTAGTTCACCACTTTTAAAATTGAAAACCACTTTATTTAAATCAGTTTTTTTTTTGAAATTTATTTTGAAAATTTAATAAACTTTATATTTACACGAAGCGCAAAACTACTCGCTACGTAGTAATTGCTTGGACGCGTACGCGTACGTCGAATCCCGTTGCTCGTCAATGGGCGCACAAAATGAGACTGTGGTGAATGGGCGGCGCGAGCATGGTGACAGGCCGCAGCGGATCCACAATTCGTTCATAGCAGATCGCGCACAGCGTCCATTGTGTTGAATGCCATTTCACTCCTTTTCATTTTCGTTACGATTTTAGAGAGACACGCGTTGATGCGCCCGAATTGTGGGTGAAGGCGGAGCTGAAGGCAGCGGATAATTTAAGGTGTGCGCGTGGGAGCATCGCGCTGGCTGCAGGGAATGCCAAAATAGCTTTTATTAGCGTAGACGCTTTTATTTCAGAACAATTTGTGCGTTGTTTTGTGGGCGCGGGGGAGTTAGTTAAGTGTTTGCGGTGTGGTGGAGCGTCGAAAGTGAATGAAAATTATTGCATTTTTCGTTTATTTGTTTTTTATGCGATTAAAGCATTACAAATGGACAATCGTTAGGTGAGTGATAGACAAGATAGACAAAATGTTTAAGGTGTTGTTGGAGGGTCTGCGGTGAGAGTTTTCGTGTACGGCGCCAGGAATGTCATTTCAAAAGATTACAAAATAAACGCACTTAAAGTGAAACAATAAATTTTATGATGACAGTATGTATATATTGTCTGTCTGTGTTTGTGTGTTTTTGTTATATGTATATATATTTATCGAGATCGATGAAAAACATTAAAAGAATTAAAACTGTTTGAAATATAGAAAGAAAAGTAGAGAATTTTTTTACCAGTTCTGGAAATATATTTTAAATTTGTAATGTATAGCAGTACGATCTGAAAAATTTATTCGGATAATGTACCGATGGCTTAAACAATAATCTCTGCCAAATTTCGTGAAGATATCTCGTCAAATAAAATTGTTTATTGATCAGTTTGATTGGCAGTTATATAATACAGTGGTCCAAGACTGGCGGTGCCGACAAATATGCAGCTTCTTTAGGACAAAAGGACATGTGCAAAATTTTAGATCGATATCTCTAAAACTGACAGATAAATCAATTATCTGAATCAACTCATCACGCTGATCATATATACATATATATATACATTTTTTTTAGTTTCTTCGCCGTTTCCTTCTATTACAAATTGGTGCAATTTCGTGGCAATATAATATAACCCGTTCAGAGTATAAATCTGTATTTACCATATAAGGTGCGACAAAGTTTCAAGAAATGAGAATTTTCATTAATTTTTGGTTGCTATTAAATCATGTTATTTTACAAAAGTAGCAATATGACATTATTATGCAATGTTTTGACTTGAAGTCACGAAAATTTCAAAAAAAAAAATTTTATTTTTGTTTTTTTATTCAAAAATTTTACAAAACGGCGGCCTCAGGAAGTTTTTTTCTAGATTTATTTGAAAAAATCAACAGTTAATTGGTCTTAACAAATCGAAATTTTTGATTCTTCAATCAGGCCCGAATTTATTATGTATTCTAAAAGCTATATAAATTTTATTAAAATCTACTGAGCGGTTTTCGAGTTACAGTTGTCACCAGTTCAAAAAACATATTTTTGAGAAAACCGCATTTAAAATTTCACACTAGAGCTCCCGAGTGCTTTGAAGTTTTTCAGAAAATATTTTCAAGATATTACACTTAATGAAAATGCAACCAAAAAAAATGATTTTTTGAAAATTCCAACTACCGCTAACCGCTTAATGGTTTCAGCAAAGTGCTGTACAGCCGTTCAATTTATCAATTTATTAAGACATAATTTCCAATCGGTAAGACTACTTTTAGCTAAAGTACGTCAAGTCAATAATCATACCATTAAACCAAAAACAACAGACCTGCTCGATACAAAATGGCCTTATACGCCTGCCATATACGCTGGCAAAAGATGTTTAGCTATTTGGACCGATAGTTTGGTTTTCATAAGGGGCAGTTGCGGAGAGCGTAAAATATTTTCGAAATATGAAACTGGAGACAAAAATATAACACTTTAACTGCTTTGAATTCTGAAAAATCTGAAGAGTAACAGATTCCAGTTTAATGTCCTTCACTGTTGAAAATGTAAATATACAAAGATTTACTCCGACAGAAATTTGCTATGTTTTGCAAGCGATCTTCATATTTTATAATATTTTTTTATTGCCATATTTAACAAGTATGCTACGATCATCTGTTTTTGTATCGCGCTTCTGTCGACGAAGTTTACAGCTTTCAGACTCATAACACCTCGATGTAAGACCCCTGGATTTGAATGTGTTGTCCAAAATTAAAATGGATCTCTCTAGTAATGCTTAAAGAGCTCACCTAGTGTTTCAGTCTAAAAAAGGCGATTTTTGGTAACTTAAAAAAAACTACTGTAATTGTTTTAAAATTTGAAGGGTATATTTATATATATTTAAGAAGTAAACGGTAAAATTTTAGAAGAAAAAATTAAATATTTTTCTAGTTGTTTCTGTGATCTTTAAAGGCACTAAAATAGATCCTCACCACTCTAGTTATCCGGCCAACTCTGTCGATGAAACTTACAAAAAAGAATTGTCTACTAGAAAATATTCAAAAATTGACGAAAGTGCAGCGTATTAAAAAAATCTGAATTTTGACCAAAACTTTGATCGTTTTCGACCTGCCAAATATCGATTTTTTATCATATCAAAAAACTATTAGGTTATAGTATGAAGAAGATGATTGAATCACTCAAGTTAATTTGTAAAATATACTTTTGAGAAAAACGCGTTTAAAAACTGATGGAGCTAGTTGAAATGAGCGGCTGCACTTTAGAGTGCTCGAACTCAGACTCTTTTTGAGATGATGATTTAAAGTTTGAGTATGTTATTTTCAAAGGTTTAGCCTATCGAAAAAATCGATTTTTTATTTTAATTTCATACTAAGTATATGATATATATGAAAAGTTCTCTAATAAATGTATAAGTCATTAGAGATGGTGCGTTCAGTTCATAAACTTGCAGAGAACTGAGAACCAAATATATATTTGAAGATCATTTGAACATTAAATATCAACTGTCGCTTAAATTAATCAATTAATTATTTTACTAATAAATTTTTTCTAAAAATATTTTCATATAAGTGGGTAAGAAATAGTTAATTAAAAAAAAATTAAATTTGGTATATATGTTAGATATGTGTATGTATGTATATTTCAAAAATTTATTTTTATTACTTTTTTACTTGAATACTACAAGAAGGGTATATACAATATGTTTATGTCAAATCTGTTCGAACTGTTGGTATGAAGGCAAAAATCTTTTTGTTGCAACAATTTTGCTTTCAGTTATGAGAGCACATTGCACATCGCTTGCCACTCGTACTCATATGCATGTTTATTATATTTGGCGCTCACTGCAAATTTTTCTGCAAATATAAACGCTTTGATATACAAAGAAATATTTGCGCTCGCGCTCATTTACTTATAAGCGTTTGAGAGAGAGCCAAGTCTAAAAGCAAGAATATTAGAATTACAAAATTTATTAATATGTGTACATATGTATGTTGCGGTTAGTTATGGTATTAGAAAAGAGAGATGCATTTAAAATATTTAAAGAAGTTTAAATAAACTCTGCCTTCCTCCTCCTGCTTCATTCTTGCTTCAGCCCTTATCTATGAATACATACATACTTCTGTATATTTTTCCAAATTTTTTTTTTACGATTTTAAAGCCCTCAGTGAGAGCCGCTGTGCGCTTACATGTTTATTCAGCGCGATGTTTGCGAATGTTTGTGCAGCGAAGCGGCAGCCATAAATGCCAATTGCTGTTGTTGTTAGTTTCCTTGCTTAACTTAACGGTAGAGCTGAAGAGAGCGCGGGATTTTAAGTTGTCAAGGGATATATGTGTGTGTATGTGGGGGACTGCCAACAAATGCATTGAGTGGATGCGTTGCTAAGCTGCTGGCTGATTAGGAGAACAAACGAAAGAGAGAGAGTATACACGTTTAAAATGTAAGGTAGTGTTATGAGGTGCCCAGCAAAATTTTTCAGTGAAGCACTGTTAAGCTAGATACGTTTATGAGCGTTTAAGTGACAAATATTATAGATATTTACATAACATTTGGTACCTACATATATAAATGATATTATATTATATATCACTTTTAAAGTTTAGGGTTGTAAAAAAGTATTTCCGGTTGTCCCATATGTTCTATGTATGTGACTTCAAACTTTTTGTGTCTTCTATATAACTAGTTAAAATTTTTTTTTGTTAGTTAGCTCAGCCTCTCTGCAATTTGGCTTTCATCACAGGCGGCACTCAAATTTCTCCCAAAACTTTGTGTTCCATCTTATTTATTAGGAGATTTATTAAGTATGGACCTAGTAAAGTTTCAATATCAAACTTCAATAAATTTTACTACCCTTAAGGTGAAAGTCAGATCTTAACTAAATCTGTATACCTAACCTTCGACACCATAAGCGCTCTTAAATAACATAGCAATGCTTTCTTTCACTTTGTTGTACCTCGAAATCCAAGAGAACTCCGTATTTATTATGTATTTTTCCTGATAGTCCAAGTTAGTTTAACAATGAGTGTTACGTCGGAACACTTAGGGCTGACGTAACTGCGTTCATTTCACTTTTATGACCACTTTAAGATTAAGGTCATCAATTGTGACATAAGAGACTAGACCTTAACTACTTCCGTGAGACGAGCAGATATTTCGACTGGTTTTCGTTCACTATTAGACACCTTCGCTTCGATTTCATGCCAGCTAGGGAAAATGTGGAACTAGCAAGGGTTGTTTACAGTGTTTTCATTTTTGAAAAAAATTCAAAAATTACTTTTCGATTAGCAATAATCTCTCTGCCACACCTAAACTGCTATCAACCTTTCTGTAGTGTTTGGACTAATCTTTCATTACCTAATTTACCGCACAACATTGTCTTACATGCTCAAAAGCTGTAGTCTTTTTTTATTAATTTCCAAGGAGCTTACTATGTGTCGAACCTTTTTTTTGGGTGTGCGCTCCCAGCAACTGCACTGAGAGCAAGCTACGACGCCCACAGTCACAAACAAAATGTGTGACGTCGACACAACAATTGCGGTGCGCTGCCGTGTCAGCAATGACAGCAAGACCATGAGCAGCGAAGTTTGACCGCAAACGGAAGAAGCGCGGCACGGCGTGTTGCATAGGGCAGACGTAAGCCAGTAGGCCAAAGCGACTGACAAACAGCGCCAACGACTGACTGAGCACAAAGCTGTGCCCCACGTGTGTATGTGTGTGTGTACAAATGTAGATTGGGTAAGCGATTGACTGCCTGCAAAACTGGTTGTGGCACAGAGAAACACAGTAAACGACAAAGTTATCGTGGCTAACGTTTGCGTTTGCTAACGCGAATGCGAAAGCTTGCAGTGCTGCGGCGCGCTCCTACGTGTGTGTGACACGTGAGTGTGCGCTGGCGTTAGTTGCGGCAGCAAATAGTGTTTGCTTAGTTGTTTGTAGCAAGCTGATTTTGGTCTGCCTTTTCCACTTTGCCGCTGTGCTGGCGCTCAGGCGGCGCTCACCAGCCAGCAGCCAAGAGCCGAGGGCCAACATGCCCCAACCCCAGCAGACGCATCATTCGCCAGTTGAACGTGAACGTGTGAGGTGGCACGCCAATCGGTTCGGTTGCTTAGCAGACGCAAAAAGTGTTTGTTTGTTTGTTTGTCGCCTTGTTGTTATTTTATTTGCCGACACTGTGCTTGTGCGGTTATGCGTGAGTGTGAGCGCCGAAGTGTTTGCTGGTGTTAATGTTTAGCGTTTTCTTTTTTTTTTTTTAAATCTTTTTACACGTGAGAGCGCCGATTGTGCGGCTATAGAGTGCGAGTAAACAAGCAAAATGTAAACAAAAGCAAAAACAACACATAAGGTGGTAGGGCAAAAGTTTTGCGGCTACTAATTCGATCGGTGCATACACACAAGCTGAGTAGTGCAAAATTTCTTGCGCTCGCTAAACTCTCTCAAGCGCTCTCTACCGCTAGCGGTCAAGCGCTACATTGCATTCGTATTGTTGCCAGCGTCATTTTTGCACTCTAAGCTGCCGTTGACGCGCGCGTCCCCCTCTTTTGTTGTGGATTTATTGTGAAAACTGAGTCGCTGGGTCGATATGTCGATCGGCGCTGGAAGTATGCAATGAAGTCTGACAAAAGCATCTGCTCAATTAAATGCGATAAAAAATAAAATACGAACATTATACAAGTGAGCCGGTAAGCACAAACTAAAGTAATAACAACAACAAAGCGCAGCAACAACCACCAAATCGAAATAGAAAAGTTTAGCGCTCGAGCGTTGCAAAAGCACGAAAGCCTAAGCAGCTGCAGTGGTGTCGATACGAAACGAAATTTGTTATAACAACAACAATAGCAGCAACAACAAGCGCGACGCTTGTAAAGCGCATCATTTGAATGCGCTGCCTTAGCTGCTCGTTGCTTAGCGAATTTTGCACAACGCTTTAGTTGTTGTGTGTGTGTGTGCGTGCATGTGACTGCTGGAAGCTGCGCCGCTCAAGTGCCGTGTTCGCCGCGGCCGTCAGTGGGCCAGCGCTAAGTTGCGAGTTGCTTTAGTAACGCCAACATTCGGTGTAGTCTGGCGTTGTGCGCGAAATTGTGAGGTCGTCGCCGTTGTCGTTGTCGTCATCGTCTTCGTTCATATTTTTGGTGTGCGTGCGAAATTATTTTGTAGTGAATTTTCGAAAACACAACAAAACAGGGATTGTAGTGCAATTAAACCGTGGCTTAGACCAAAAATAGTGTGTTGATTGGAAAATTGAATATAATGTAGTATTTACATTTAAGGCAGTGGTTTTAGACAAGTTAACAGTGAAGCATTTAAAATACTAGAAAAAAGTCCTTTAAAGTGTTTGGACGTTTAAAAACGTGAAAATTTACGAAAATCTCATACAACGCTTAAAAGTAACTGCATTAAAAATAAGTTTATCAAAATTTTTTAAGTCTAAATTAACATCTCGATTTTGTGTTGATGCTTACCTCTGCAGTGTAAAGCTTTGTAATGATAATTATTTCATTTGTATGTAGAGAGAAGTGTCTAAATCAATTACTGTGAAATTTCAAAGTGAATTTCGATGTGCTTCCTTGCAACCGCACATTTAAAACGGTATAATGATTTCTATTGCAGGGATCCGTTGAAGAGACAGTAAGTTTTAGGTGTAATATTTATAGATTTTTAATTTCAAAATTATATGGTAATACAGTAATGGTGTAGAAATATATATGTGTATATTGTCTTTTTTTAAATCGTAAATCAAGAAACAATATTCTGTTTAAGTAACTAGTTCTACTGTCGACCTTTTTGAAAACATTGCTGAGACAAAAGTCAATATTTTAGAAACCAGTTTACATTTTTATTTTGATAAACCATTCTTTGACGATTTAATAATCGGGCTTAGTATAACAGTTACTGCACCTTTTTAAGAAAAGCCTTGTATAAGATTCTCTTTTTCATAACACCTTATACCCATATTTTCATAGCAAATTTTATTCCAAAAATTATTCGAGGCGCAGCTGAGTTACTAGGGGCTTTTCTATACTAAAATCAATAGGTTGATGAATAGTGGAAGGAATATTTTATAAATGTATATTTTAACTCAATTCTACCTTCATTTTACTGATCACGATCACAAACCTAGAGGTTATAGGAGCTCAAAGGCGCTTATCGGACAAGTGAAAAACACGGAGATTTATTGGGCCTATAACTATGTATGTATATTCGTGTCGCTTTTGTTTTCAAAATATTAACTGTTTTTTAAGAAAAGCGTGTACAATAATATTACTTAGAGTATTGACCATCTGAAACTATAAAATGTTCTAGTTTTTCTGGCAATTTGTTGACTTATCCTTAAAGAACTGCGCTGGTTTGACGACCAAAAGTTAATAAAATACATTTTTGATATTCTAAACTATAATGATGTTCTAAACTATAATACAGTGAGATCATTATGCATCGACCGGTGCAAATGGTAGTCAGAAAGGGTAAGGTTTTTAGGCATGAAGCAAAACTTCTCAAGCACAGTTTTCCACATTATTTTTATCCGGTCTTGTAACATGAGTGCGAGTGTTACCATGATGAAATATTATTGCCTCGTGTCAAGTTGCTAATTCCAAGCGCTTTCGGCTATCCATCGCATTTGTTTGTTGAGTTGTTTAATGGTTTCCCGAGATTTTCCAAGCTCATAAGATCACTCCTACATACTTCAACTTTCTCTGATCTCAACAAATACAGTGCATTGCCTTGTCGTCATGGACATTCGGCTTTGCCGTTGATTTGGCTGATTGGTTATGTTTCACATATGATTTAGGGTTATCGTAGTGGATATATTTTTCATCATTAGAGTATTGAAACAATGGAATAATAATTAATTGATCATCAACGTTTGGCAAGGGGTACGAAAATAATTATAGAACAAGAACATAATTAGAAAATCTTGGCAATATGGTCCGTATAATAACGAATGGGTTACAACAAAGTATATTCTAACGAAAGATCATTTTTATCTTTATTCAAAATTAATTTGTTTTTTTGGTGCAATTCGAAGCGAAAACGCTCCACGTTGGGTTTTTATTATGCGACTATCGCTTGATACGAAAAATTGTGTTCGAAACTCTTAAAAAAGGAGTTTAAATACAAAAGTATTTTTCTAGGAGAGAAATTTATATCCGTACTAGAACTATGAACTCGGCAACATTCCTCGAAATTATTTGAAAAATGCTTTCAGCCGCCACAACAAAAAAGTGGATAAGAGTACATAGAGAGACCACAAGAAAATCAAGAAAACCCAACTCAGCTTAAGTTACTGTACTGGCTACTTAGGTCAAGGTCTCTCCTCAGTCTAATGAACAAGCTACTCCTATATATGGCAATACTTAGATCGATCTACGACTGATGGAACTCAAATCTGAGGCAGCGTAGCTGATTAAAATTGTTAGATATTCAAACCTTTCATAATAAAAATTAATAATTTATGGGTGCAACCTTTTATATATGAAATTACGTCCTGGTTTGAAACCTGAAAAGGCTCACTGTGAAAGAAACTATAGACGAATTTAGTATTCGTTATTTCTCTCGATTGGAGAACCATGATAACGTACTTGGGATGCAACTGCTGGATAATAGTCAATAATACAACTAAAAATATATCATCCATTAGATCTCCCCTTTCGATTCAATTGATCTCATTATATTATTATATAAAATATAAGAAATAATAATATAGATATAAATTGGACTTACAGATATATACATGATTTCATGTACGAAGTTCTGTCTAAGTATACTTAAATCGCATGCAACTGACTAACTAAACTTTCAGGCCTTGTGAGCTGCATATATGAAGACTTTATATCAAATAATTGATATTTTCATTAGGAATTGTCGTATAATATTTATAGCGCTATGTGGCAGCAAATATAAATACTAATTTACCCACACAAACACACATACGTACATACATACATATGTGGCACGTACAATGTGACAATTCAACTAATCTAAATTGGAAAAAAGCGCACATTTCAAATTTCAATTACTTTGCATAAATAATTCAATTTAAAATGCTGCTGACACTTGGCGCGCGCACACATTATTGATTTTTCTTCCCAATTTTGTTGTAATTGCTTTTTTCGCACATTTTTGCATAGCTACAACGTGTTTAACCACACACACACACACATATATATATATATATATATATATGTATATGTATAAGAAGCAATTCAATATTCAAATCTTAAATTAACTAAAGCCATGCAAACGAACAAATAACCGAGATATATATGTATATACATACATAAAGTTTATGCGTGTGTGCGTGAGGGCGGTAAGGTGAACCTTTAGCTTCGGTGTGCGCAAACATTTATGCAACCAAATGAAATCATTTCAGGAAATGTCCTTCAATCAGCGCGTAACAAATAAACGCTTAGATCTGCTTACACCAAATATACGTCTGGATATATACTTACATACATACACACACACATACACACATAGTTAACACTTAAATGCTTTCTCTATGCTGTGCGTTTGTGTGTAGACCGTTAGATATTTTTGTATGCATTGGCATAGAGGTAAATGTACTCGATGCTAAATTACCTCGCACATTCCAGTCCATAGTACCGATAGCCCCCCCCCTGCGGGCCCGTTGACGAACATGGCGATGGCAAGCCAAGAAAACGAGCATTAAAGCCACTTGCGAGTCGGCATAAAGTTCGTGTGCCAATCAAGAAAAACAATTGCTGCCACCGCCACTCCCATTACAAAGCATTCAACCAGCCGCACCGGCAAAAGTTGAGGGTGTTTGTGTACTTATGGGCGTTAAGCACAGTGGTGTTGTCGCGGCAAAAATGCATTTAGAATTGAATTTTATCGTTTATGCTACTATTTATACCCTGAACAGGGTATATTAAGTATTTCACGAAGCTTGTAATACACAGAAAGATTTAGCCATGACCGTACGTACATATGTATGTCTGCCCATTTGGATAATATACCCGATCTAGTACCACAGTTTTTGAGATATCGGTCTGAAATCTCGCACATATCATTTTCTCCCGCATATATCAAGAGGCTGCTCATTTGTCGGTATTGCCGATATCAGAGCGCTGTAGCGTATAGCTGCAATACTGAACTGAACGATCAAACTCAAGTCCCTGTAGAGAAAACTTTTTTTATTTGACAATGTATCTTCCCCCAATTTGGTATAAATTATTTACCAAAGTAGCGCTCTAATTTCCGAACATATTTCCTAGATCGGACCACTATAGCATATAGTTGTCATAACAGCTGATCCATATATTATTACGTCATGTTTATTTAACAACAACTCTTAAATAAATAAAAAATTCAAAGCTGGATGAATGACATTCAACATTTTACTTTTGAGTTTTATAAAAATATATAGTTTAGTTAAATATAGTTTGACATTTTGTCTTTTATTATCCGATCGATTTTAATATTAAGTAGCTATATAACGTTAGTCTAGCTGATATGTTATGACGTTGACATTTGTCTTAGCCCATTTGTTTGTAACTCAACTGTCAATATATGACGTTTGACATTTCTAATTTTGACGTTTCTTTTACGACATTTGACTTTCACACTGACATTTGCCATTACTCTATATGACATTTAACATTTTTATTTATGAATCCAATATTTTTTATGATAGAGAAGTGTCAATGTTATTTTTGCTAAATAATATTTGATATTCTTTTCGTTGATAAATATTTGAGCCACTAACAAAAATGATGACAATATGTTAGGCATACATTTGTCTCTCCACACTTCAGCCACTCACAACCCACTGTGCCACTTCAAATCAATTCTATGTATGCATGTTTGTACGAATGGGCAGGGCATTGGCACCAAGAGAAATCACTGTGTCATAAATTAAGAAATCTAGCAAATTTTCGTTTATCGTTTATAATAACTTTTTTTGTCTCTTTTGCCTACTGCTTTTCCATCAAATTTATGCTTGACATAAGCTTAGAAAATTACAATAAAAAGGCACAAAAAGCAAAAGCATTTTAATTTAGCAAAGCTGATATTGCAATTCCAAGTCTAACAGACAGCGGCAGCTAGTAGAAAAGTAATAAAAAAGTTACGGTGCCGATTTGAATAGAACGTTGAAAGGCACAAAAAGTACCAACACAAATCAAGTTCTCGCTTTAATGAGGAGCAATTGTTGTCTACCACACTTATGTACCGCACATCGCCCACTAGCAAACGCTTTTATGCTTACATTTGTAGTTGTAGTTGTAGTACCCTTTAATAATTTTGCCGCTTCTCAACGTTGGCTGGCGGCTATAAGGATCCATCAAATGCCTGCAGTTGACAGCTGCCAACACCAACACTAATATATCTTAAGCCAATTTTCACACGTTTCTCCTTTCGATTCGCGCCAAGTTTTTTTCCCTGACACTCTTTTATATTCTTTGCATAGTGTTTTCTTAATTATCTTCTTCCTTCGTTTTGCTATTGCGTTTTCTGTAAAGTTTTTTATTTGACCTTTTACGCCTATGGAGGTAAATAGTCGGTAATGTGAGATAAGTGGATGCCAGGAATATGTTAAGCTATGAGCTTTAGGGAAGATGACTGAACTATTTCTTAATCTAAGATCTCAAATGTAAATTTTGAACCTT